ACAGGCATTATTGCAAAGCAGCTTTACAGACAAATCCAGGTCTGAGCCCCCATAAGCCAATGGTGACAGTGGCACCAAAAACTCACTAAAGCCTTTTTAACATCAGCACAGTGCAACATTAGCATTTGCAGACAAAGATAACAAAATGAGCACTTTAACAGTCTGAGTAAGCTCTGCGTTAAAGGCTTTGAGCTCTGCCGCCCTGGTTATATTCTGTAGGCCTTAGTTTCAGTGTCTAATCACGACTGAAGATGTGCTGAAGGTCTGGTTGCAGGTGTCTCTTTGTCTTTCAGGCTACTGGTCACCACTGCTGCCCATTTTGACCTCTGCATATGTCACCATCATCTCCTGCATTTCACTCCATTCCTTCTTCTCCCCTTTATTTTCAAACACAATTTCAGAGTACATAGCCTGGTCACTGAGGAAAGACTCTAGAAACAGAAAAAAAGAAAAAAAAAACTGAATATATAGCTGAATTAGGCTGTGTGAACTCTCTGTAGTTGCTGTACAGATGCTAAGATAACTGTTAAGCTATTTAGCAAAACTGACAAGTACAAAAGCATTAGGGATATTGCTTGAAATTATGGTTAACAGCTTAAATGCCCAGGGTCCACCAGGGTCCGCCAGGGTCTGCCGGCAGTTTTATTAAACACTTCTATAACCAAAAAATAGCTCAGCAAGTTTGCATTGAAGTCCCTGTAGTTACTAAATAGTAAGTCTTGTAATCAGCCTGGGATTTTAAGGGGTTAAAAAACTGCCTTCCAAGGAAAATGTCAGGTTTATACCAGGTCATTCCCCTCCTTGCATACAGAGGTCACTCTCATCTCAACACTGAGTCAATGACCTACTCACCAGGTACTAGCCCACCACAATCAGTGGGCTTTATATAGACCTGTTTTTTGTTTGCTCCTTGCAAAGTCTTTTTATCTTGGCCCTTTCTATCTTCTGTTTCTTTTGTCAAGTATTACGTTAATCTGTGTTTGGTATTTTCTTGCTTTTTGTGTTCCTCATGTTCTACCACCATTATTTTCTTGGATTGTTAGTGTTTGGATTTTGGGTTAAACTCCATTGTGGAGTATTTCCCAATGATATTGAGACCTGAGAATTAAACCTGCACTTGGATTCTACTACTTTGTGTGAGTGTAAGTGTGACACAAAATCAGTGGTGGACAGTAATGAAGTAAATGTAGTTCGTTACTGTATTTAAGTAGTTTTTTCATTTATCTGTATTTTACTGAAGTTTTTCCATTTTGGGCGACTTTTTACTTTCACTCCACTACATTTCAAAGTCAAATATCTCACTTTTTACTCCACTACATTATGAGAAATCTGTCGTTCCTTTTGGTTTATGTGTGTATAAAAACGTAACATGTCAAAACGAAAGAAGCGTGAAGCAAAAACACCAATCAGGGCACAGCGGTCACTTTGTTTAGAGCTTGTTTTGACCTGTTGGTCATACCGACCCAGTGCAATCATACCGTTCAACGTCAGTGTAGCAGCATAAAATTTTGGGAGAGTCTATTCAACATAAATGATGAATTAACCTAACTTTGTGTAAATAGACCACAATATAGAAATATGTACTCATATGCAGTTGTGACGTGTCTTTTTTCTGAATTTACCCAAACACATTTCATTTTATAGTAAATTAGTTTTGGCTAGTTTATGTTTATGAACAGAGACCTACAGATGCAGTTTAGTAAAGGAAACTCATTTGTGAATCTGAGTTTAAAGTTTTTATTAAACTTAAACTTGTAACTAAGTTGCAAATAAATCTTAAACTGAAACTTTGCTTGTTTGTAAAAAGTGATTTCAGAGCCACTCAGTTCTACCTGATGGAAACTGTTTGCCTTCAGTGTTTTGCGCTTATGATAATTTTAACAGACATCAGCGTCACTAATTACTGACATTCTATTAAAAGACTGGTTTACCAAGAGAGACACTGGAGTATTTTCACCTAAAATTAGTTAATGAAGCAAGAATCTTGTTACAAAAATGATAATAGGACATTAAAGTCTTAATTAATCTTTTAGTACTTTTACTTTCGATACTTAAGTACAATTGAAGGCAAATACTTCTGTACTTTTACTCAAGTGGAGGTCTAAAGGGAGGAACTTCTACTTTTACTGGAGTAATATTTTACCTTGTATCTCTACTTTAACTCAAGTACATGGTTTGTGTACTTCGTCCACCGCTGCACAAAATCACATTTAGCAATTGTGTTTGATATTTATGCAAAGTTACGATTATAAATACTTATATAAACAACTACTTCCTTTATAGCAGCGCTCTCAATTCCTTTCCCAGTCATGTCTAGAAGAGTGTGTGTTCAGCCTAAATGGCCAGGACCCAAAGTCTTATTACACACGTCTATACCCTTAGAATAACTCGGCCAATTTACATTGAAGTCCCTGTAGTTACTGAATAATAAGCATATAGTATAGGAAGCATTATATATAAGCAAATTAGTATGTAATAAGACTGGAGTTTTAAGAGTTTTGTAATATTATAGTGCAGCATTATACACTCAACCTCATCAGCTTAAAATACCTCTCAACTTTATATTTTTTTCATGCTTTCCTTCATTTTTGTTGTCTCACTACAATACCCAGCATGCATTACACAAATACATCACATAATCATTTCTGTTGTATTTGCCAACTAGCAGGAAAAAGCACTGAAAACTAAAGGGGACTTTAGTCTTTAAACTTAATAATCTCACTCCAGTTCCTACTGCAGCACCTGAGGCGAAAGAACAGAACTACTGCAACATTTAAGGTGGAATGGAAAATTTGAATAAGAAGCTAACAAATAAGAAGCCAATTCCACCAAAATGTGCAAGGAAAGTTTGGAATGATTTACACATGCAGTTAGCACCATGCTAACTGGAAGGGTATAATCTTCCATTACATGTTAGCTACATTAGCTCCAACGCACCAGCGCTAAAATTAAAGAATCAAACGTCAGACACCAAACATCTCTTGGCTGATCAATTGCATATTAAGGGAAACTAAATAACATTTTTAACCAGGCTGTTGCTTTTAAAGCGAACATTAAAGTAGACAAACTGTGAACTGACCAGGTGATTGAGCTCTCGTGATCTGGCGATAGCACAATGCTGCAGTGGGGGTCACTAACACGATCAGTGCTCCAAAGGCCAGTAGTAAAACTCTGTAATTCACTACAAAAGGAAATTCAAGATTAATTGAGACCTGAAAGTTGTTGTGATGTCAAAACAGAGTAGACACTTGCAGATAAAAGTAAAACTCAGTTGGGCTTTACTTGAAAGTTCAGGGCTAAAAGAATAGACAAAGTCAGAGCAGACAAAGGTCAAAACCAGAGAGCAAGGCAAACAGAACATAGAGAGCATCAAGGGGAAATCCAGAAAACAGTCCAGGGTCAAAATCTAGAGAGAAACAGAGTACAGCAACCCAGCAGCAAGGGCAAACATGAAAAGACTAGTTAAGGTGATTCGAAAAACAGGGTATACTGAAGTAGGCTTACGGACTGGAAAACATTCGGTTGGTAATGCATCGGAAAGCGCTAAACTAAAGCCCAGGTTTATATACTATATAATATTTATATACTATACTATATATTTATATCTAACAAATGAAAAGAAATGGAAAACAGATCTGTGAGCTCAAAACTCTAGTGACATGAAACTTTGGAATGAGATTCGATCGAACAAAGATGAAGATGCTGTCAGGTGATTCCCTATTGTCTCATGGGAAATGGAGTTCTTATCATAGTCCATATACTCAAGTGAGCCTGCAGGAGAGAGTGAATGAGTTGAGAAGGTGTCTTCAGTAGGATACATAACAAAAATGTACAAATGTTTATAAATGGCAGGTCATAAAGCGGTTGATGAGCATTCTCATATTTAGAGCTGATGTAAATTGTGTTTTACTGTATATTTACAACACAAACATTCATTAATGAATGATAAGTTAAGTGTTGGCTCTGTGTAATAAGTGAAATAAGTGTTTAGGGCCCTGCGGCCAGAAGGGGAGCCCCTAGCAACTTTTGTGACCACAACATACACACACATACACAAACTCACAACTATACATCAACACCAACAACCACTAACGCACACTCCACACTCACAAACACACAAAACACACATCATCCACACCTATACAAACATACACACACACACATAAGCCACAGCAACACACCCAAACATGCATGCCTCATCCACACTCACACACACATAAACCACACCCACCCCCACACATGTAATCCACCCCCACTCACACACAAATGAAGTGACGCAGTGGCATGCTAATGTTACTATTCAGCCTAAAAGTCTTTTTTTTAATTGACAGCAAAGTTATTTGGAACCTTTTCATGTAGCGCAAAAAAGGGTTCTTTTATTGGTAGAAGCTTGACACTGTAATAATATCAGAACATGTACACGATATTCTCCATCAATTTGCAGAACCATTTCACCAACAAAGAACCATTTATCATGAAATGGTTCTATACAAATATCAAACAATTTATATGAGAAGTTTCAGTCAGGTTTTCGTTCTAACCATAGTACAGAGACAGCATTGATTCGCGTTATGAATGACCTCAAGATCAGCGCTGATGCACAACAGATCTTAGATCTTAGTGAAGCTTTTGATACCGTTGACCTCAAGATTTTAATCCAGCATCATGAATGCTGGGTTGGCCTCTCAGGTACAGTTTTAGAATGGTTTAAATCATATTTAGGAAATAGGCAGTTCATGGTTTCACTTGAAAACTGCCTAAATAGACAGAAAAGTGAATAAAATGAAATAAACAAAAACAAGATTTTTCTGCTGATTATGTTACTACTAATAATAATAAGATTAAAATCCTGGGTCTTCTTCTGGTTCAAGGGACTCAAATGACTCCTTATACCACTTATAGCCAAAACAAGCCCTGTTCATGAACATATGTGATCCCAGACAAAATCCTAAAAAGAAATGAGTGAGCGGCTGAGTAATTAAAGGAAGGAAGGAAGTTACCTCCGCATGCTAGAGCTTCAGTTCTGATCTTGCTTACAGCATTAGACGCCTCACAGATGAGCTCTTCAGGAACGTCATTCTCAAACTGAATGTGAACAGTGAGTTCTTCTGATTCTGGTGATGATTCCATGCTCTGATTGGTTCCGTTAAACATCCAAGTCCAGAGGAACTGGACATCATCTCCGCTCTCCACCCTGCAGGTTACGGTGATGTTACTTTCTTCAAGACAGGACCTCCAAACCCTGACCTCTGAGACAGGCTCTGTAGAACATCAGAGTCAGTTAGCGAAAATCGAAATATGTAAAAACATCTAAAAATGTTTAAATCTTTTGTGGAGCTCAAACGGCCTCCTCAATCAGGAAAGCTCGTCCCAGCAAGCAGTTGAACCAACAACACACTTAGTGGATATTAAACAACAACACTACTGATCAGCACCCAGTGGAGAATAAACCACCACATTACTGATCAGCACCCAGTGGACAATAAACTACCACACTACTAATAAGCACCCAGTGGAGAATAATCCACCATACTACTGATCAGCACCAAGTGGAAAATAAACCACCACACTACTGATCAGTGCCCAGTGGAGAATAAACCACTACACTACTGATCAGCACCCAGTGGAGAAAAAAGTCACCATGCTACTGATCAGCGCCCAGTCGAGCATAAACCATCACACTACTGATCAGCACCAAGTGGAGAACAAACCACCACAGTACTGATCAGCGCCCAGTGGAGAACAAACCACCACACTACTGATCAGGACTGAGTGGAAAATAAACCACCACACTACTGATCAATGTCCAGTGGAAAATAAACCACCACACTACTGATCAGCACCCAGTGGAAAATAAACGACCACACTTCTGATCAGCACCCAGTGGAGAATAAACCACCACATTACTGATCAGCACCCAGTGGAGAATAAACCACAACACTGCTAATCAGCACCCAGTGGACAATAAACCACCACACTACTGATCAGCACCCAGTGGAAAATAAACGACCACACTTCTGATCAGGACTCAGTGGAGAAAAAACCACCACACTTCTATTAGGCACTCAGTGGAGAATAAACCACGTCACTACCAATCGTCACCCAGTGGAGAATAAACCACCACTTTAGTGATCACAGGACGCTGTTGCCTGGATATTTTTGGTTGGTGGACTATTCTCAGTCCAGCAGTGACACTGAGGTGTTTAAAAACTCCAGCAGCACTGCTGTTTCTGATCTACTCAGACTGGTGCAACACACACTAACACACCACCACTACGGCAATGTCACCGCAGTGCTGAGAATGACCCCCCCCCCTCCAAACACTACCTGTTCTTTGGTGGTCCTGTCGTGGTCATGCCCATTGAAGAACAGGGTGAAAGGTGGCTAACAAAGTATGCAGAGCAACAGATGGACTACGGTCTGTAACTGTAGAACTACAACAATGTTCCTACAAAGTAAGTGGAGAAGTGAGTGTAGAAACAAGGAGGTAGTTTAATGAGGTGACTAGTCGGTGTATATTTGCTAGCAGAATATGATATGTCCTCATTACTTATCTAATTCATGGGGTTCACCTAGCTTTTTGCAAAGCTTAAAGTCAGATAAGCAAAGCTCATAGTCAGAAAGAAGAAGCCACATCAGATAGAGATGGAATAGAAGATTAGCCCGGTTCATGTACTGCAGTATAAGTAAACATATAAGAACATGCATCATAAGAATAACATTGTGTTTTTGCACCATGGGGTTGAATACTTCCAGTCTTAGCTGAGCTAGCTCACAAACTGCTATCCATTTCTGTGTTTTTCACACTAAACACTCTTTTCTTCACTGTCTACTATTTTCTATCATAACATACACTAACTAATAGTTATATTTGTCTCAATAATGCATTATAAGGCTGGACTCAGCCACTGCATTTGCCTCATCATGGTAAAAAGTACCATGTTTTATGTACACACAGTAGCATAACTGCTGATTTTTTGTCCGTGCAGTGTGCAGCCTGCACAGGGACAAGCATGAATGTAATGCTGACGAATATCCTGCATGGTCATTTCTTATAGATGTTATAAAAAGTGGTATCTGCAGTGAGGTATGTGAAAGATTTTACACAGATGACACTTTCAGAAAGTTGTAGGGACATTAGCAGGTATTTTAAAAAGTGCCGGGGTCAAAATCAAGCATTTCAAAAAGCGGTGGTCATAAATGTTGGACAAAAATTCCTTTCATTGGTGGTGTGATGTTAATCAGATACAATAAGACACCAAAAAGAGAAACAAACTGTGTTAAATGTAGAGAAGATCTGATCTACAGTACATACCGAGGAAGGTGAGGTGGGTCTTTTCTTCAACAATATGAAGTCCTTTACTGTTATATATGATCACAGAGTAATTTCCCGAGTCTGTCTTTCTGCCATCATGAATTTGAAGTCTGCTGTTCTTAAACATGCTGTATTTTTCCTTATTCTGATGTGTTATGTGTCGTTTTTTGCTAATAAGCTGGCCGTTCCATCTCCAGTGCACATCATCCATCTCTGAAGCGGATACATTTTGTCTCAGCTCCAGAAGAACCGTGGCTCCAACTCTGTACACTCTCTGCTCCATATCTTCTGTAGCAACTGAAACGATTGAGTTTGATATGAAGTTAACACTTGAATTCTTGAATGAAAACAGTCAGTTGAACCAGTGGAAGACGGTAAATGTTTTCAAAAGCATGCCATAAAGTAAACAGAGCTGAAAGAGCAGCACCCACAGTGAAGCCCATCTGCAGTATCTTAAAGGGCTTAGTCCTCTTGCTGGAGTCATTGTCTGAGCTCAGCTTGTTAAGTTCTGATGTATCAGCATGGCTGCAGAAGAATGACTACAACTACCCCCACACTTCCTCCTCAGCACTAAAATGGTTATATACGCTACTAAACAGTTTGGTAGAGGTTAAGAAACCAAATAACCTTTGGCTCAAATAACCTATAAAAACATGTTTTTTGGGTTGCTATGGCTACTGTGGATGTGCATATCTCAACAACAACTTTTTCACTTGGAGCTTTATTAGCAGGCACACTGACACTTTTATTGAAGGGCAGGACAATTTCCCCATAAACACATTCCATGTTGAGAGTGTGAACTGTCTCCTCCTTTATAATGTCTCTGCATTTTCACAACATGTGCAAAATAAAGATAACACACTGCCCATTTGAAATTAAGACAGCCAATAGAATAAGACTCTCTGGAGCAGCTGCATATGAGCCTAAGGTCACCATACCTAATGCCAAGTGTGGGCCAGAAGGGTATAAAGCCCCCCAGCATTGGGCTGTGGAGCAGTGTAACTGTGTTCTCTGGAGTGATGGGGCTCCATCCAGTACCTCTGGGATCAGTTGGAGTGATCCAGAACTGACCATCCAACATCAGTACCTGACCTCACTAATGCTCAATCAAATCCTCACAGCAATGTTCAACATCTAGAGTAAAGCCTTCCCAGAAGAGTAGCAAGCATTTTCAATCCTGAGTTCTCGTTCATAAAACTCTTCACACACTCAGTACAGCAACACCCTGTTTGGGCCAAATCATGAACAGTTTTTTCGTTGTTTGAATATCCCCGATCCTGTCATCATTACATTGGCTACCAGTTAAATTTCATGTAGAGTATAAGATCCATCTCTACATGTATCAATCATTAAATGGCCCCACAGTATCTCAGTGAATTAATTCAGTCATATGAACCCACACATACACTCGGCTCACAAAATAACGGCCTGCTGACGGTTCCTAGAATTAGAAAAACCACAGCAGGGGGTCGAGCTTTTTCCTACGTAGCCCCAAAATTGTGGAATCATCTCCTGACCTCTGTTTGGGACTCAGACACACTCTTTACATTTAAAACTAGACTCAAAACTTTTCTGTTTGAACACGCATTGCTAATATCAGCTGTTTGCACTATTAACTCACTAGTATCTCTCCATAAACTGACCTGTCCTGTTCATCAATTTCTCTCTCTCTCTCTCTCTCTCTCTTTCTCTCACTCCCTTTATTTGAGCCCCTGAGTGACGTCTGCCTGAGTCGCTACATGTGAGCCACCAGAGCTCCATCTCTGTTGGCTGATCTGTACCTCACCTGCATGAACTGACCCTCCTGCTGCTGCTGCATAAACTCAAACTGTTGCTGTTTTCTATCCGGTGTCGACCAGAGGAAGATGGGTTTCCCTTCTGAGTCTTGGTTCCTCTCAGTGTTTCTTCGTCTTGCTCTTAGGGAGTTCTTCCTTGCCACTGTTGCCATTAGCAGCGCTCATGGGGGCTCGGACCCGGATTTTTCTGTAAAGCTGTTTTGTGACAACACCTTTTGTTAAAAGCGCTACATAAATAAACTTTGACTTGACTTGACTTGAATACAATTTGCATTCAGTGATCAAAATTTCCAAATTGTTTAAAATTCACTTCCCACTCAGTCTCAGCCATTAACAGAACTCATTATTCTAGTGCTCATTATACTAATGATTACATACACTATTATATTTTATTTTTTAGCTTCAATGTAATTTGTCTTGTAATACTCACAAAAGCTGTACATGTTATTTAATGTCAACACGTGTTATATAGTCCTCACAGAGGCAGCCTTCAAATAAAGTGTTACCTACATAGCAATCTTCATCATTTTTTAAGCAGTGTTGTAAATAGTTGTAAAAGATGTAAATAGCTTTTTATCCTTGCCTCTGCACATCTCACGGTTTTCTAGTTTCAGATCTGCAGCCACACAGGAAGTGGTCTCTGCCTCAGTTCTGATCATTCTCAGAATGAGTTACATGGGGAACTCTAAAGTTGCTGGGTTTCTCAACACAGTGATCACTCTGATGATCTAATTTGAAAATGTTAATGAAGAACAAATACACAAAATAAAGAATAAACAGAAGATTCAGGAGTGCAGCAGTACACACTTAAAAATAAAGGATAATTCTTGGCTTCAATGAATAGTTTAAAAATAGCTTTTACTGGTATAGAACTGTCACAGTATGTGGAGGTTCTTCAAAATTTTAGGGTTCTTTATACTTCCATATTTCATTCACAAAAATGGTTCTTTAAGGAATTCCATCCATTAAGTGCAGCTATTTTTCAAAAGTACTTTGTTTCTTTGGGAAACAAAAAGTGGTTCTTTAATGGCATCGTTCCAAAGAAACATCATACATTTGCACTGGAGAGTAAATGGATTAATCATGATTGGCTTTCTTCTAATCTGTAGGAGAATTAAGCACAGCTTATCAGTACAGCTGGAAAACAAACTGATTTCTGTACAGAACTTAAATTGAACATCAGCCTATTTGTCTTCTTTAACTGATTGAAGAGTACGGAGTACAAGCCCAGACAGATCTGGACAGCAGGCAGGTCAGTTTAGCACCTGGACTCTTTTAATACGGAGCAATGATGTTGTAATAATTTTTTAAATCATGCACAGTGTCCATGATTTAAAAAATGAATTTCAAATCTTGATTTGTCGGACCACAGGACACTTTTCCACTTCACCTCAGTCCATTTTAAATGAGCTCAGGCCCAGAGAAGGTGGCGGTGTTTCTTAATCATCTTTATACATGGTTTCCTCTTTGCGTTTTATGCAGTGATGAACTGTTTTCACAGACAGTGGTTTTCAGAAGTGTTTCTGAGCCCATGCAGTGATTTTCACTACAGAATCATGCCTGTTTTTAATGCAGTGCTGCCTGAGGGCCCAAAGATCATGGCCAGCAAATACTGGTTTTCAGCCTTGTCCCTTACATACAGAGATTTCTCCAGATTCTCTGAATCTTTTAATGATATTATGTACTGTAGATGATGAAAAGCAGAAGTTCTTTGCTGTTTGACATTGAAAAACATTATTCTTGAATTGTTGCACTATTTGATGGTACAGTCTTTCACAGAGTGGTGAACCCCTCCTCATCTTTACTTCTGAAAGACTCCGCCTCTCTGGGATGTTTTTTTTATACCCAATCATGTTACTGGCCTGTTGCCAATCAACCACCAGGTGTTTTTTTGGCATTACACAACTTTACCAGCTTTTTGGCTTTACATACAATCTCCTCCCAAAGTAATTTGTTTATTTTCAGTATGTCCTGAAGACATTTTGATTTGACATCAAACAATGAATATGAGGTGATAGATCAGAATTTCAGCTTTCATTTCCTGAAATTCACATCTAGATGTGTTAACTTGGAACATGGCACCTTTTGTTTGAACCCACCCATATTTCATCTTTCTTGTTGTCCAGGTGTGCCTTATTAGAATGAGTATTTAAACAGTTGCTAGCTCTGAAAGTCTGCTCTTGGTTTGAGCCCTGTGTTTTGCCTGTGAAGACTGCATTTGTTGTCAAAAAGGATAAACAAACATGAAGACCAGAGAGCTGTCTATCAAAGAAAAGGTCAGCCAAGGAAAACAACAGCAGTTAATGACAGAAACATTGTGAGAGCTGTGAAGGAAAACCTAAAAAAATCAGTCAGTGACATCACCAACAACCTCCTCAGGGCAGGTGAAGGTATCCCAATCCACTGTTTGAAGAAGACTTCGGGACCAGAAATAAACAGGCCAATACCACAAGATGCAAACCACTTATCAGCAGCAAATTAGCTAAGCTATTGTTTGGCTATAGAAATGTGTAATAAAACTTTGAGCCTGCCAGCGGGCCTGGCCTTGTAAAGGGTTATCCTCTACCAAAGTGATCAAAAGGCTGAGTGTGAAGAAAGATCTACTCAGGATCCAAAACATACAAGCTCATCAGTCAAGCATGGTGGAGGTAGTGTCATGGCTTGGGCTTGACGCTTTGCATTGCGCTTGGTGATGTGAGGCTTGGATGCAGCTGCTCGGCCATGGAAACCCATTCCATGAAGCTCTCTACGTTGCTCTTGAGCTGATCTGGCCACATGAAGTTTGGAGATCTGTAGTGATTGACTCTGCAGAAAGTTGACGACCTCTACGCACTATGTGCCTCAGCATCCGCTGACCCCGCTCTGTCATTTTACGTGGCCGACCACTTCGTGGCTGAGTTGCTGTCGTTCCCAATCGCTTCCACTTTGTTATAATACCACTGACAGTTGACTGTGGAATATTTAGTAGTGAGGAAATTTCACGACTGGACTTGTTGCACAGGTGGCATCCGATCACAGTACCACACTGGAGTTCACTGAGCTCCTGAGAGCGACCCATTCTTTCACTAATGTTTGTAGACGCAGTCTGCAGGCCTAGACGCTTGGTTTTATACACAAATGGACATAGAAGTGATTGATTTGGATGGGTGAGTGTATCGCTAATATTGCCAACTACAGAGCCTGTAGCCCAGAGGTGACCAAAGTCCTGCCCCAGGGCCAAACGCGGCCTGCGGACAAATTTTAATTGGTGCATGGCTTCTGGTTTCCTTTCACCTGATGGTGGCAGCAGTGCTGTTACAGTGTGATGTGCCGCACTGTGTTACGAAGCTTAATAAATTTTTAGAGACTTTCCTGTCTGAATAGACCTGAACTACATTTAATTACAGCCTTAAAGCACAGCCTTAACACTGAAAAGCGGTGATTTTGGTTGATGGAAATTTGAATACATTTTTAAATTTGTTCTATGAAAAAAAAACATAATTTTGTCCCAATTTACAAATTTTAACAAATTTCATATAATCCCAGCACTTAAAAATCTAAAAAAAAATCTTAAAAAAAATCACTTTAAAAATGGATCTATTAGTTTACAGTCATTACTAAATAATAAGCTGCACCCAATTTTTTCTGTGAATTTTTTATTACCATCAGTGCAGCACCAGTGATGTTCTATAAAGCTCCTACATAGTTTGGTTTCCTCCATGTGCAAATCTTTAAAAAGCTTCATAACACTTTAATACATGTTTAAACTGAAAGAATTTTAGTCATCATTGCCGTAAAAGGGTTTAGATTAAAAGCTGAATAAAAAGCCTGCAGTGTAAGTCTCTGTAACATCAGCCCAGTGCAACATTAACATTTTCAGACAAAGATAGCAGAAGGACGCTTTAACAGTCTGTAAATATCTGTCTCAGCTCTGCATTAAAGGCTTTCAGATCTGGGGCGCTGGTTATATTCTGTACATGTCAGTTTCGGTATCTAATCGTGGCTGTACATGCTGAAGTTCTGGTTGCTGGTGTCTCTTTGTCCTTCAGGCTGCTGGTCATTGTAACCCTTTCTGACCTCTGCATACATCGCTGTCTTTCTCTGCATTTCACTCCATTCTTTCTTCTCTTCTTTACTTTTAAACTCAATTTCAGAATAGACAGGCTGATCATCAGGTAAAGACCCTAGAAAGAGAAACAGAGAAAATAAACAGAAGTGGAGATTATATCCAAACTGGTCTGTTGGCTTAACTGTTTGAGCCAACACTGCAGATGTTGCACAGATGCTAAGATAACAGACAAGCTAGTACAAAAGCATCAGAGTTAGAGCCATTTTATTTACTATCCAAAACCACCAGTGAGATTTTATATGTAATATTGAGGTCCCAATAATAACTGTGTAATTACACATTAATGATACATGCAACAACAGTGTAACTACTGGTGATGTATTCACTGTCACAGATGGATTACAGACTTTTCTGATCATGACAGTAGGTGTGTAATTGCCTACATTATGTGAGTACTTACACTGCATCTGCACAGGAAATGACGAGTGTACTAACATCTAGCTGGCTGTAGTAGTGTGCCTGTGTTGTGACATGGTAACCAAAATTCTGGCTTTAAACCCCATGTGTCAAACACAAGGCCCAGGGGCCAGATCAGGACCAGAGCACAGTCCTGTCCGGCCAGCCAGTTTGACAGTGCACTGAACTACAGTCCCCAGCATGCACTGCAACATAATGTGCTCCCACCCCTCTTCCCCCAACAACAATGTATGGGACTACAGTTACACCGCAATTCCACTCAGTTCCACAGCTGTCATGTCACTAAACACACTAGCTGTGTTTCAGCAGCAGTTCAACCAACATAAACACTATAAATTCTACAAACACTCAGCTTAGAAAATGATCCCAAGAATGAATGAATACATAGGTAGGTTTAAAAGACCTCCTTGGGACATTTATGTGTGTTTATTTCACATATTCATGTAATATTTCAAAGTCTGCAACAAGTTCCTATATATTGCTTATAATGTTTTGGCATATTTTCAGTTTGGGTTATAGCAAAATGTCTTCAAATTTAAAACTGAAATAAACAGGCATTCTCTGGCCCACGAATTTGTTGAAATTTTTTAATGTGGCCCTTTTAATCATTGAGTCTGATGCAAATATACATAGTGGTATTAACTCATGTGATTTGATCAGGTGAGCATGTTACAAATATTCCAGAGTAACTATGTAAAAGTTATGCGTCAAAATAAGTGAAACGTTACTGTGTATTTGTCATGTATTGAAATGAAATTACTGGTTGGTAATCCAGGTATTGTTTTTGGGGTAGTATAATACAACACATATCACCACTGTCAGAACAAAATGTTGTGAAGTAACATTCTGTGAGGGAGCTTTTAGAGGTGGACGTCTGGTTCCTATCACCACCACTGTGAACAATTCTGACTCAGTAAGTTTCTCCATAACAGAGCGTTTCACACCAAATCACTCTGAATGACTCTGTTTACACATTAACCATTTAATTATGCAGAAATTTTGACTTCCTCTTTAAGGCAGCCCTCCTTATAATAAAATAAATAATAGTGTGTTTTTTAATAAATTTTAAAATTAATTTCAACATATGAGTTATTCCACTCAACATCTGACCACAAACTTTGATTAATCACACTGCACGCATCATACAACTCACACCAGTTACTTCAGATACTTCAGGTAAAAAAAGATATGCAGGAATCTTGTTTTGTTAAAAGATGGATTTTGCCAAAACAGTATACTGCCGAACATGCACTCTCTTTATGATCTTATTTTATAAACATTGCTCAATTATGATTGTTATAATGGTTTATATATGGCAAAAGCCTAAAAATAAACACTGATAAAACAAACGATGGCACTGACAGATCGGTTGCTCTCAATGAAAAAACTGTGAAGTCACAGTAAAAAGCAATAAAGATAATTACCATTTATTTCAGTGACTGATATCTAGTATAATCATGTTTATTTTATTTTATTTTATAAATATGCAAACATGAAGCCACATCATAACAAGATTGCATAAGACTCTTGTGAAGTGAAAGCACAGCTTTACCCACTTTCCTTACCTTTGTAGTCTATGTTTATAGATAACAGTGTTAGAAACCACATCATCAACTCAGAGATACTGAACAACAAACGCTTTGACACACAGAGCTAAAGTCTTAGGCACTAAAATAACTCTTGCATCACTTAAGGTGGAATGGAAAATTTGAATAGGAAGCCGCTGAATAGGAAGCAAAGTTCACTAACATGGTTTGAGGTGAGTGTTTGATGATTTAGACATGATGCTAATTGGTCGGGTATGAGCTTCCATTACTTCTTAGCTACATTAGCCTCTAAAACTAAAAAGTGCCAACTTCACTCACCAAACATGTTTATTAAAATTAAAATAGGCTCACCTGATGTGGTGTCCAATGCGATCCTGAGACAGCACAGCGCTAAAGTGAGGGTCACTAACACAGCCAGAGCTCCACACGCCAGCAGGAAAATTGTGTAATTCACTACAAGAGGAAATTCAAGATTAATTTACAACTTATAATTCACTGAAAATTGAATGTTTTAAATAAAAAAACATTAAATTAACCAAAAAGCAACACTGACCTAAACAAAAAAGTGATTAACCATTAATCTTATATTCACTTTTTTAAGATGACTGGACAGGGATGTATAACAAACCAGTACTTTCTGCTTAAAAAACATGTTATATGATAAAACTGTGAGAGAGTTTGGTAAATAACCGGCTCTAAGAACATGAACAAGAATAGGAAAATCACTTTTTGGCCTTTCTCATTCCTGTTTCTAGTCTGAATAATCTTAAAAAACGTAAACGTCCAGCCGCACCAGTCTGCAGGATTACTGTGTGTCACGTATTCGGCGAGCTCTAGCAAGGAACCAGACTTCATCTCCCAGACTCCTCTGGGAGATCACATGACAGAGCAACTTCCCTCCGACTCAGATTCAGACACAGACACCATTGCCCACAATACAGTTTGGACTCATGTGACTTCTGACTCACGACCTATTAGCGCTCTGCATCAGCGGAATACTAACTGGTGTCACCTGTGTTTTGATTCATAGGACTATTTCGTATACTTTAAAAGCCCAGTATCATTCTGATCTACTGAGTGTTTGTTTATTATTGCCTGTTTTCCATGTACTGACCTCTACTTTAGTATTTTTGACTTTGCCTTTTTGCCTGATCCCTTTTGTGCCTTAGCCTGTATTGACTACCTGTGTTTTTGACTTCCTTGCCTGTTTTTGTGACTTAGTTTTTTACTCTGCCCTTTTGCTTTGGTTGCCCGATCATATTAAACGTAAACTATTTTTACATCCGCGAGCGTCTGTGTTCTGCTGCAATGTCACACTGTGATGAGCACAGCACTAAGAATAAACTCATCACTCTTAACTTTAACAGATAAAGATACCATGCATTAAAATGGAAACCATATACACATATGGCTTACATTTTACACACATATATATATATATATATATATATATATACACAGTCGTATAGAAAAGTTGAACACATTCTGAAAGAACACACTTAAACATGGCATAAGATGTAAAATTTGCGCAGGCCGCATTTTTTTTCCCCAATACATTAAATTCAGTAAATAAACAGTCAGTATACATTAACCCCTTAAAGTCCCAGGCTGATTACACACTAAGGTTTATTATTCAGTAACTACAGGGATTTCTATGAGAACTGGCTGAGCTATTCTTAAGGTACCACTTTAAAACAAGATTACCCATATATATATATATATATATATATATATATATATATATATATATATATATATATATATATATAAAACACATAAATATAAAGGGCAACAGTGACTTCATTGATTAATGGTTAACCCACAATCATTTATACTGTTAAACCTCAGATTGTTCACTGATCTTATTTTGTCTTCTCCATCACATTTATTAATGTGTTATAAATGCTTATTAATGGTATTTAAAGTGTTTATGACCTAAATAATAACCATTAACAAACTAATATTAAATCATGCTTAAATGCTTTATAAGGGTGATCTTATTCTAAAGTGGTACTGAAGGATGTAATTAAATTTGGGCCCATTGGTGGGCACTGGCCATTTAACCTGCATTCTTGTTCATGCATACATCTTTCTCTTGTTTTGTATAAAGCAGTGAAATACTGTATAGATGATGACTGCACAGCTGTGGATACGACCTCATCATGACAATAACAGTATTAATAAAACCAGTTTTCTTTCAGTGATGTTTAGAAGGATTCTAATCCCTATGTTCATTGGCTGGTGCACTTTAACACTATTTAAATGCTGTTTTTAAATAAATAAGAAATAAAAGAAAATTTTAAATAAAAACTTTCCATCAGTCTATCATGCGTGATAAAAACATTTCATTGAAGAGGCTTGTTTCTAGAACTATGCTTGCGTAAGTAGGCTGAAGAGAATTTATTCATGTATAACCTGATTTTAGTTTTGTGTGACACAAGCCCCAGACTATGCAAAATAAAGTGTTATGGTTATATGGTAGTGACCCAACACCGCTGTTTGCTGACCATTTAAAAAAGCTAGGAAGGCAAAACATTAGAGCCCAGTGGCCGGTTGCACCAGCTGTGTGTTAGTTCAAATGTAGGCTAGTTGTAACGTAAGTGTTTACTAAGTTCAGGTTTACACATTACTAAATCAAAACTATACTATATATTTGTACTATAGGGGCTAATAGATACTGAATATTTACACCTCCCCCTAAGCAGGTGTAAGTGGTGACGAAACCCACGGCAACCAAAATATGGCTTGTTTGGAGTGCTTCAAACAGGGTGATAGTAATGACTTTCACTGTCGGGTGTTAAGAAACAGGCTACATCCTTTAGATAACTATGATGATGTGGGTATCTATGCTTGATTTTGGTTCAGGAGAGATTAAATTAGTTCTTCTGTCCACTTTCTTGGCTGATGCTGTTATGCAAAAAAACATTATTTTGAAATTGTGGTACATTTTCAGTTGCCGCAAGGAAACGTCAAGGCAAATAATCACATGAAAGCCCAAAAAGACCAAAAACAGGACTTTTTTGGTTAACTAAGCTAAAAATTCCAAACACTATACACTGTGATTTTACTCACAGCTCTAATCATCGCCATGGTTTAAACTCCAAGCATGAAGCTAAACACCCACAGCTCCAGCTCAGGGAGATGTTTAAAACGCTGCATATTTGGTTTCTCAGGGAAATATTAAAGAATAAACAGACAGCAGCTGTAGATAATCAGGTTTATTCAGTTCAACTTGTGCACATTGTTTTCTTGTAGACTGGATTTTTTTCCATTGAAAAAGTCAGAGCCGCTGCGTTTCCATGGCAGCGGGTTTACTGATTCTGAACATGTTATTGTCAAGTTAAAGCGACGTACGCGTTAGTTAGCTAGTTGTTAAGACATGGCTTACGGATTTGTGGCGCAACCAAATTTAGTAAAAGGATAATTTAAACTAACTAGTGTTACTAAGGACTAAGTAAAGACTTTTCACCAAAACTTAAGCAAACATGGTGCAACCTAGTCCAGGGGCTGATAACTAAATGATTCAAGTCTGCCGCTTATCCCATTATAGCATGTTATGACACATTCTGTGTGATGAGAATTGTTCAATGAATTAAAATGACAAAACACAGATCATTTCCTGTGATGTCACTGTGTACATGACATATATACTGCGTAAAATTCCAAGACCTTCCCTGTGTCCCAAGTGAGTTAGCGTGGAATTATCTATTTACTAGTAGTTTGTGTATATTTATCTTCAGCACTCAGCTTCATGTTCATCTTCATCATCTTCCTCGGTATAAAGAGCAGGTTTATCTAAATAAAGCTAAAAGCTCATATTAAAACACTTTTGGTTCCAAAGTGGTTTAAACACTTGAAAGGTTTGAGTGCTGACATCACAACAGGAGGATAAAGTGGGCGTGGCTTTTTGCTTTATTCCAAAAGTACTGCTATCACTAGTATTGGGACTCATATTTGCATGTTTGATTTATATATGTTTATATTGTTTTCCTTCAGATAAACCTGGTCAGTAATTGAGAATTAACAAAGAAATCATGTCTCACCACAGAACTGGTCTTTCTGCACCGTGGTATCGAGAATCCTGTTGGGACCAGGGTTCTCTTCTCCATCTGCACAGACTTGCTTTGAATAATTGCACCATTTGCAGACAGGAAGCCGGGCGGTGGTGAAGTCGCGGTCCACTTTATCATAAACGGTGCAGGTGAGGTTTCCGATCACGTGACCCTTCAGAATGATCACGTCAGCTGGATCGCTCATATAGGCCACAGTGCTGTTTATCTCAGTGCTGTTCAGAGTCCATCTGTAATTCTGTCCAGCAGGAGTGCACTGGACTCTCCGTTCTCCAAAAGACTGACAGAGGATGTCCAGGTGGGGTTTGGGTAGCGGTTCTGTGGGACAGCACAACAAACACTGACCACTATCTCAAATAAAAACACAGCACGAACAAAATTTTACCAGCATTATTGAACCTGGTCCATATAAAGTACACAGTATGTCCAAAAGTGGAGGTGTGAGGGCAGTGCTGTTCTTCATCACTCTAAAACAGGATGGACTCTGCTGCTCTATTCACACTGAATCACTGATACTAAACTTCCACTCTTCCACAGCACATCTACTACTTATATACCTGTGATCATCCACAACCTGAATGAAATAAATGCTCCTCATATCATTATTTAATGGTTTCCATAACTAATACAATGCAAGTTCTTCCATTTTAATGATGCAAACTAAAGCTACTTCAGCACCTAGAGATTAATAGATGCCTCACAACCAGCCTGTTCGACAACTCATTCAGCACAGCATTCAACAAATAACACTAAATCTCCACAAATAAGATAATGAAGCCTAGCAAACTGACATGCTAAATCATATCAGATCATAACAGATCATAACAACCAGTGTAATCAAAGTACACAAAATTCACCAAAACTGTCCTATTTACGCATTAATTTTTACAGTTCTTGCCTTGTCCTGCCTTGCCTGAAGCTTTTGACCGGAGAAAACATTGGCAATCATTTTAAAGCAGTGTGTTTGTTCTGCCTAGCAATGGCCAATTGATTAGTCAAGAGCATTTTACTCCAGCATCCTGAGGGAGCTAGAGGGGTATAAAGCCCCCCCCAGCATTGGGCTGTGGAACAGTGGAACTGGGTTCTCTGGAGTGATGGAGCTCCATCCAATACCTTTGGGATGAGTTGAAGTGATCCAGAACTGACCATCCAACATCACCTGACCTCACTAATGCTCAATCAAATCCTCACAGCAATGTTCAACATCTAGTGTAAAGCCTTCCCAGAAGAGTCGAGGCTGTTACCGCAGCATAAACGCAATATTAACACTTTCATTTCAGAAGAAATTCTGGAGTAATTTGCACCGTTCTCATTATTTCAGTAATGAATGATTTCAAGAATAGCAATGACATTCTTAGTAGAGTCAACAGAATTGATGTTTCACTAAACTGTAACTGGATGCTACAGCAGGATTCTCTTTATGGACGCAGATCATATTAGTGACGTGATTAATCTGAATATTTTCTATAATATTCTTACCATGGATCTTCAGGGTGAACGTTATGTTGAGTAGAAAGGTTCCAGCTGAATTGTATGTTTCCCACTTGTAGACACCAGAGTCATTGTAAGTGATGTTCCTGATTCGAACAGTTCCATTGATGAAGAACTCAAAGTGATTCTGATTCCTATCAGTTGTTTTATTCTCAGGTATTTTAAATTTTAAGAGACGTTCTCTGTCTCTCTGTAATTGAACCTCCTGTGTATTTGTTGGCACTGGAAGACACAGCAACACTGATTTCCCCAAAACACCAAACAACTGCAGCCCATCAGAGACGTTACAGGCTGACAGCTCTCCTAGAGCATTAGACAGGAGTAAAGATTTTGGAAATGACTATGAGGTCCTTTGCAGGTCATCATTCTTTTGCGTTAAAAAAAAGCAAAATCATCTATTCAGTGAATGCAGTTTTGCAAAGCTGTGCTGCAAATAGATTTTTAGTTATGGATTTCTTAAAGTTTCTTAAATACTGAGTCTAAGTGTTTGCAGAATGACTGAACTGAGCTGGAAGATTAACTGGACATAAATACAGCATTAACAATAATGTTTTACTCTAAATCAACTGCATTCATCTTAAATTCGTACAACAATTTACTGGAGGGTTTACATTTTTTGTCAGCATGTGAAAACTTTGAAATTTACACTTTCAGCCAGTTTTCAACTTTTTTTTTAAGTTTGTATTTTATGTGATATTGCGACATTGCTGTCAAACCTAGCTTCAAACATTGCAAATGAATGGATGACAGGTTTAATGAAAATACAGAAATACTACATAAAGCAAAAAAATTGGCTAAAATTGAATAGAAAAATTTCATAGATTAAAGATTCCACAGTCTGACATCCCACGGTTGTGGGAATTTATGAATGTAGTTATCATTGAAACTTAGTTGAATTCAAATGTTATTCTTAGCATAGCATTTACATCCCCTTACAATTTTTGAATGTTTTAAAACTATAAAAGTCAAACACCACTTGGAGCAGTTTTGAAATTTTGCATGAATTAAATAGAAGTTTTTGTTTTTCCGTAAAAGTCCATGACGTGATCTTGGTGTGCTGGTGTGGAAAAAACCCAAATATGTCCTTGACGTCATTAACACCAGAACCAAAAGAAGTTCTCAAAAGGTTCTATGACTTTTAAAGGCCCAGCACAGTATTTTTTCATCCCTATTCAATATTTTACATTAGCAGGAAGTATGTGATTCTCTTAATACTTCTGCTTCAGTCTAACATTTATTGGATGCTGCAGATTGCATAAAATCACTTCTAAATGTAAATATTTTTAGTATACTGCCCCCTAACCACGGTTTAGGAATGACACCTTATTTGGCATGATCAGACGTCACAGAAAACACTAATTGACTACAGCGAATCACAAGCTACCCTCTATTGCACATTCATGAACTGTGAAATCAGCTGACCCTGAAATAACAGTCATTATTTTGATTTGAAAGTTTATCTAATAATGTAGGCAGCAATGAGGATGTAGCACAGTGTACAGGCTAACATTAGCTAATTTTGTTACCTGATTTAGCTTGCTAATGTTAATGAATGTTAGTTACCTGCCATCAAAAATTTTGCAACTAAGATGCAAGACAGCCACAGACTTATTTTTATAATGTTATAAAGTAATATGATATACAGACATTTTTTAAATTGTCAATAATCACTGACTTTCCCATGTTTAGCTCCTGCCATGCACAGTTAAAGCCTATTAGCTAGACCTGGTTAACCAGTCTGATAAAAGTGAGCTAGCAAATCTTAGCTAACAGCCAAGTCTCAGTCAACAGTGGAATCCAAATGGGGATCATTTTGGAGTTAGAAATTTACAGTTAAAATGTAAATCATATTTTTAAAGGAAAATACTACAAAGAAAACATATCAAATATTGAAACTGAGAGATTTTATTGCTTTTTGAAAAATATATGCCCATTTTGAATTTGATGCCAACAACATGTTCCAAAAAAGTTGGGACGGGGGCCTGTTTACCACTGTGTTTCATCACCCCTTCTTTAACAACACCCTGTAAGCGTTTGGGAACTGAGGAGACACTGCTGTAGTTTTGAAAGTGAAATGTTTTCCATTCTTGTTTGATATAAGATTTGAGCTGTTCAGCAGTTCGGGATCTCCTTTGTCATATTTTTCATTTCATAATGTGCCAAATGTTATCAGTGGTGACAGGTCTGGACTGCAGGCAGGTCAGTTTAGCACCTGGACTCTTTAAATGTGGAACCATGCTGTTATAATACATGCAGAATGTGGTTTTACATTGTCTTGCTGAAATAATCAAGGCCTTCCCTGAAAAAGATGTCGTCTGAATGGCAAAATTTGTTGCCAAAACATGTATATATCATTCAGCATTAATGATGCCTTCAAAGATGTGCATGTCACCCATGCCATGTGCACTAATGCCCCCCTATACCATCATGAATACTGGCTTTTGAACTGTGCACTGATAACAAGCTGAGTGGGCTTTAGCCTGGAGGAAGCAGTGTCCATGATTTCCAGAAAGAATTTCAAATGTTGATTCGTCGGAACACAGGACACTTTTCAGCTTCCCCTCAGTCCATTTTAAATGAGCTCAGGCCCAGAGAAGGTGGCAGCATTTCTGGATCCTGTTTATATATGATTTCTTCTTTGCATTTTAGAGTTTTATCTTGCATTTGTGGATGCAGTAACAAACTGTTTTCACAGACACTGGTTTTCAGAAGTGTTTCTGAGCCCATTCAGTGATTTCCACTACAGAATCATATCTGTTTTTAATGCAGTGCCGCCTGAAGGCCCAAAGATCATGGGCAGCAATTACTGTTTTTTGGCCGTATCCCTTGCATACAGAGATTTCTCCAGATTCTCTGAATCTTTTAATGTTATTATGTATCGTAGATGATGAAAAGCAAAAGTTCTTTGCTATTTTACATTGAGAAACGTTATTCTTGAATTGTTGAACAATTCTTGAACTATTTGATTGTGCAGTCTTTCACAGAGTAGTGAACCCCTCCCCATCTTTACTTCTGAAAGACTCCACCTCTCTGAGATGCTTTTTTATATCCAATCATGTTACTGACCTGTTACCAATCAACCACCAGGTGTTTTTTTAGCATTACCCAACTTTACCAGTCTTTTGTTGCCCCTGTCCCAACTTTTTTGGAATGTGTTGTTGGCATCAAATTCAAAATGGGCAATTTTTTTTCAAAAAACAATAAAATGTCTCAGTTTCAACATCTGATTTGTCTTTGTTTTAGTATTTTCAATGAAATTTAGGGTTTCAAAGATTTGCACATCATTCCATTTTGTTTGTATTTACGTTTTGCACAGCATCCCAACTTTTTTGGAAATGGGGTTATAAAAGCTGACCATCTTTGTGCTAACAATATAGTTGAAATGCAAAAACTTCAATTAGCTGGATAACAAGCAGAGATCTAAGGTGTAAGTTAGGCACCACAGTATGGTGCAACCTGGAAATCAGATCACATCAATGCAGCCTTACTTGTATGAACCTGTAATGGCAGATTCCAAACAGGAACCTGGCCCTAAACCAGAAAATCGCAGCTGTGTAGCAGCTTCTCAGTGGAACTGTTTATGGTCAGATTTCTGTTTGCTAGCCAGCTAATCAAAGGTTTTGTATTTTAACTCTAAGGTTAACATGAGGCTGAAGACACCAGGTTCTTGTTCGAATTTTCCTGTTCCTCTTTAAATGGTGCAGCAGTTACATTCTGCCCATCCAGACGGGTATGATGCAGAGGCTGTCAATCAATCTGCTGGGGTCCACACTCATACAGCAGAAAGGTAAAAAGCGGCAGAGAAAAAAGAAAATATGAATTAATCCTATTAATGCGATTTTTGAGGAAAATTACAAGGTGATTGAAATGTATAAAATCGTTTGCTGAAATTATTATTTTATGTAGATTTTAAAAAACAGCTGTGCAGGGCCTTTAACAATACTGGAACCATTTTCAATGTCATATAGAACCACTAAAAAAAAAACAAATCACTAAATCTTTAAAAAGGTTCTTTAATGAACCATGTTCAACAGGGTTCCTATCATTAACGATACAAAGAACTATTTATGCATTCAAAAGGTTCTTTGGGTGCTCACGGTTCCACATACAGTTGCATGCAAAAGTTTGGGTGCCGCTGGTCAAATTACACATTTATGTCCATTTGTAGGTGATAAGTTAACACAACATCAGAGAACACAATTAAATATGGCATCTTCTGCTAATTTTAGTAAGAGTTTAACATATTCGAAAAAGCATTACTTTTGCCATAATTTTTGCCTACAGGTTATGTTTTGTTTTTTCCCCCAGTTTGTTCAGTTCAGTAGATAAACAGTAGCTGCGCATTCAAATGTGCAGAAGTGTGTTAACTTATTCACACTTAGAAAATCAACGACATACGGATATAGCGCACCTAAACGGTTGCATATGACTGTATAACCATTGCTTTTACTAAAGAACTCTTGAAAAAAAGAGAATTTCCAGTGGTCACCAACCCTGATCCTGCAGATCTACCTTCCTGAAGAGTCCAGTTCCAAGCACAGACTGACACATCTGCTTCTTCAGAGTACCTGACTGTCAGGTTTATCAGTTTAGATGCAGGTTAAAACGAACCGCTGCATGTCAGTAGATCTCCAGGAGGAGAATTAGTGACCACTGGACTACACTACATGTACATCTAAAATACAGAAAATATTTCACTGTAATACACAATTTCAAAACTAATTATTTATGAAGAGTGTGAGTGGTGAATGTAACTCACCCTGCACTGTTACTGCAGTCAGCAACACCAGAAACATCGGAATGACCATTTTACTCCCAGAACATTCAAACCTGTCAAATCATTTTATCATAATTACCTCCAAAATATTTATAGAAATGAAAAATGAGTCATCGTGTATTTAATAAGTCTGACTCAGACCTGGCGTCTTCTTCTTATTCTTAGTGTTATTATAATTCCGTATGGGAAACAGCATTAAAAATATTATACACTAACGTGTATCATCTAATAGTAATGATATTAAAAAGCTTAAATCATACACTGATAATACAGCCTGATAATATAGTAAAATCCTGAATTTAGAGGCTTTCTTCCTGTATGAAATCTCACATAAATTCAAAGACACATGTAATAATAATAATAATAATAATAATAATAATGTTTCTATTCATACAGCACTTTTTATACTGGTGGCAGTTCAGAGTGCTTTACAGACAAGTAATAAAGCTTAACAGTAATAGAAGAAATTGTGATTATTAATTTAAAATCATATAGACTAAAGATCAGACTAGAAAAGAGATGCACAGTTTTAATGAAGCGCTGAGTTAAAGAGAAACGTATTTAGATGCTTCTTAAAAGTGAGTTCTGAGCTTGACTGCCTGATAAAAGGTGAACTGAGCTCCACAGTTTAGAAGCAGAATAACAGAAACAGTCTCTCCATGTTTTCGGTCCATTATTGATATGTTAGTTATCTGACTGAGTTCTTTATTAAAACCTGTCTTTATGTTTTATTTGTATATTTTCCATTTTAACTGAGGGAACACAAAACTGAGAAGATCAGTTAATCACGATTTATTTAGGAGCTCATGGTAATAATTAGAGGTAAATATCTTCACTTTACTTGGAGGGGCACATAAAGGACTAATGTTAATGTTATTAATATGAAATAGACAGTGATTAATGCTGAAAACATAAAATGTGTTCTGAAAAGTGAGGAAGCTGAATATGTGGAAGTGAAGGAAAGTGAGCAGTAAAGTCTAACAAATGTGTTTAAGAAGAGAAAAAATTGCCTTCTCTCTCTGGCAGTATATCACAATATTGTCTCAAAAAAATAATTCAAATGATATAATTTTCTAAAAAACAAAAATCTTTGACTTAGTATCTCAAAATAATGACTTTTTTTTCAAAATATTGACTTAGTATCTCAAAATAATGACATCAAAATATTGACTTAGTATCTCAAAATAGTGACTTATTTTATCAAAATATTGACTTAGTATCTCAACATAATGACTTACTTTTTTCAAAATATTGACTGAGTAATGATTTAGTATCTCAGGACAATTAATAATAATAATAATAATAATAATAATAATATAAAATGACATTATTTTGAGATAAGTCAACATTTTGACATACTGCTGCCAGAACCAGAGAAAGTGGATCTCTATTGAGGAGTTCTTTACACTGTATGAACACTTCAGGATGAACAGACTGACAGAAACTGTGTAAAAGACAGAAAGTGCGATCTCATTACATTAATGTACACTACAGTTAAGAACATTTCTCCTTCTGCATAGTTTATGATGTTGGTGAGGGTGTGAGCTTGTCCTGCAGATGGACGATCAGAGGAGAAATTAAACGAGGAGGAATGAATAAAGGAGGAGAACTCACCTCAGCGTCTGACTTCTCTGCAGGCTGAACTCTGTTACGGTGCTGAAATATGCTGCGTGCTGCTGAAACCCAGACTGCTTAAATTAACAGCGGATGAAAGCGTAGCTGAAGTGAGAACGCTTCTCTCAGGTTTTTATGAGACGTAGCTTCCCCTTCTGGTCAGTGAAACCTTTCAAAAGGCTTCTAAAGGTTTCATGGCCTGAAGGTATGATTCTAAGAGAAAGACCTTCACCTGGTACAGAACCTTTACATCATGTGGAGCTTCTTTCAACTTTAATAAGGTTCTCTACACTCAAACTTCTCAAAAACATCTCAAACATCTAAAAAAATCCAATTATAGGTTCTTTACACCCTCAGGAACAGGGGTACTGAAATGTCATTAGGATGGTACCTACAAGGGTATGTTTGCAGTACCTTTAGTCAGAGAACATAACTGAACCATAATCCACTGAAATGATATGTTCTAAGCTGTACTGACTCCACACACCCCGTCTCGTCTCCAGGCTTTTATTTTACTGTTCTGTTTTAAAACATTCGGTTATGAAAAGGTACAAATACGAACTTTTCACCTGGACAAACTTATTTAAGGTTCACAATCAGACCTTAAAACCACTGTTGAACCTTTGAGGGAACATTTATATTGTTTATACCATGATGAATAGAAGATGTCCCTGCACAGAACCTGTTTTTCTGATAGTGTAGGGAACCAAAAGTAGTTCCTGTAAAGCAGCGGTCCCCAAACTTTTTGTCTCTGTGTGCAAAATGCAATTTTGGTGGTGAGAGCCAGAAGGACAAGAGTTAGAAGGCACTGTGAAGCAAAAAAGTCCTGAAAGAAAACATTTTCCCATCATCAACATTCTATATAAACTCAGAAGACTCGTGTAGGTTCACTGGTGGTTTTGGATAGTAAATAAAATGTCTATATCTGTGTTGTAGTCATGGCGACCCCTGGTTCCTATCACCACCACTGTAAAGACATCTGAACCATTTCACACCAAACCACCCTCAATCACTGTGTTTACACCTTGCACACTGAATTATGCAGAAATGTTTGAAAAAATTGTGGAATTCTCTCTTTGTTATTGTTGTATGTGGTCTTGTTTTGCAAACAGAAAACACCTTTTACATTTTTATCTATGTTTGTGTCATTTTTGATAGAAAAAAGTCAGAAAAACAGACTCAAACCTGTTAATGCAGAATGTAAATTGAAAATTATGCAATTATGGAACTACTCACGAATAATGCTGCAATAAGGTGGAATAACTTCATTTCTCAACCCATAGGAAATAGACGGCCCAGTGTGAGATCAAACCTCCACCCTGAATGACATTTTACTCTGACTTCTTTTTGTTTACATCTCAACATCTCAACCTCTAAACAACAACTGAACTCTGTATCACTGCTCCATTTCACTGAAAACCTCTAAAAAAACTCATTCTAAATGGATAATTATTTGCTTATATGAACCACAGTGTGCACTGATGAAATAAGAACCAGGTTCTGTTTAAACCAAAGAGTTACTTCTTAAATAGAACTGGGCTTATCAGATAGCTAACAGGCTAGAAGATACCTAACAGGCTAGAAGATAGCTAACAGGCTAAAGGTAACAGATTAAACAGGCTAAAATATTGTAGGCTAAACAGGCCTAAAGATGGCTAACATGCCAAAGACAACCACTAAACAGGCTAAAAGACTGTTGACAGGCTAAAGCGCGGTTAACAGACCAAAAGATAGCAAGATAAACAGGTTAAAATATAGCTAAAACGATAAAAGATGGCTAACAGGCCAAAGAATAGTTGGCTGAGCAGGCTTTCTTATTGCTTAAAACTGAGCATTAAGAAATGAATGCATAGTATTTAATAGTTTAGCCCCACCCTTTCAGTCTACAGCAGTTCAGCCCCACCCATTCAGCCTACAGCAGTTTAGCTCCACCCTTTCAGTCTACAGCAGTTCAGCCCCACCCATTCAGCTACAGCAGTTTAGCTCCACCCATTCAGCCTACAGCAGTTCAGCCCCACCCATTCAGCCTACTGCAGTTTAGCTCCACCCATTCAGCTACAGCAGTTTAGCCCCACCCATTCAGCCTACAGCGGTTTAGCTCCACCATTCAGTCTACAGCAGTTTAGCTCCACCATTCAGCTACAGCAGTTTAGCTCCACCCATTCAGCTACAGCAGTTTAGCTCCACCATTCAGCTACAGCAGTTTAGCTCCACCATTCAGCTACAGCAGTTTGGCTCCACCCATTCAGTCTATAGCAGTTTAGCTCCACCATTCAGCTACAGCAGTTTAGCTCCACCCATTCAGTCTACAGCAGTTTAGCTCCACCATTCAGTTACAGCAGTTTAGCTCCACCATTCAGCTACAGCAGTTTAGCTCCACCAATTAGCTACAGCAGTTTAGCTCCACCATTCAGTCTACAGCAGTTTAGCTCCACCATTCAGCTACAGCAGTTTAGCCCCACCATTCAGTCTACAGCAGTTTAGCTCCACCAATTAGCTACAGCAGTTTAGCTCCACCATTCAGCTACAGCAGTTTAGCTCCACCATTCAGCTACAGCAGTTTAGCAGTTTCAGCCTGTCAGTTTTTGGAAACTTCAAAAATATTATAAGTGAACTTCAAAAAAAAAAATACCCAAAATTGAATATGGGCCCTTTAGTTAAAGAGAAACATAGCAAGTTAGTTTCCTTCTCAGCTCACAGGACAGTAAACACACTTCAGTCACAGTTCATTCCCCTTTTATTGAACAAGATCAGTACACTCCATCACTGTGTAAGAAAGATGTGACATCAGCTCTGACTGAGCGGCTCTCTGCACAACGTCAACCACACCAGAGAAAACAGTCAGCGAAAACAATCAGCTCGGGCAGCGTTTCCACTCAGAAACGGGTCGGTACTAATGAACATCAGGGCTTTCAGCGAGGAGAGGCAGCAAAGGTGCGGTTTAAAAGCCGTAGTGTAAAGTTTAGTTGATCTTCGGCCAATCAGAAAAGACTATTTTTCATGAACGCGGTGACGCTGTGACGGAGAGCCGTCAGTGTTCTTTGGAGAGCATTCATATTTTCCCCATTGCTTAATTACAGTATATGAAATTGTAAAGTTTAAACAGCGAGCAGAAAAGGAGCTTGAATGTAAAAGTAGCTCTCTGAAAGGACCAACACAGAGATTAGGGTTCCACACGACACCGACACGGGATGAAGTGTCTAATCCCCCTCAAACTGCCTGTAAACTTGAGTTCAGATGAAGTGCAATTCGGGCAAACATGCGCACTCGCACATACGCACACGCACGCCGTTCAGGGTAGAGTACAGAAAGACTCCATATTTACGCTTAATATGTTGTCACTGTTGACATCACATATTGTGTTTATAGAATAAACTGTACATGATAGAAATAAAGGTGCAAACAACCATCAACTCCGGTCAAAACGACAACAAAAAAAAAAATCACAATCGTTTACTCGTTTTTATCTGAAGATATACAATGTTTACTCTGTGCTTTTATTCACAAGCTTTACTCCAGTTAAAACCTTTTAGAAACAGAGAATATAATCACACGCATACGGTTCGTTACAAAACGTGCGGCATGCCCCAACTAAAAGCGTTACGTGTTTACGTTTAAAAATACCCAAAGTTAAATATATGGTACACTCCTTTCATTGGCTAAAGAACAGCGACACTAGCAGAGTTTCAGTTTGGAAGCAGCAGCAGCAGCAGCCCGTACTACAAACACTCAACTACTCAAAAAAACACGTACAGAGTTTAAACTTGTAGAAAACGTTGATGCTTTTCTCTCAGCGCTTCAGTATCAGTGATGCTCTTTAGTTCCCCACCAAACAAACAGCAGAGATTCCCAAACTCAGGACCACGCTATTACTATTTTCTTTAGAAATCTGTTTTAGGGTCATTCTACAGAAACGTCCATTTTTATGTCCGTAGTGTTTACAGATATATTCCACTTAAAAACACGTCAGGATCACAATTTATTTATATTTCAAAATAAAACAATAAGTTATTGTAACAATGACTCATTATTGGGCCTCAATTTAGCGACATTGGTTTTTAAATCAATGATCTAGAATTCCAAGCGCCACAGAAGAGCTCGTCCTTACAGTCGTGTGTGAAGGCTGAGGCCATATATTGAAGAAAAAAAATTTTTTCTGCAATTTTAACTGCAGTAATCTATACATGACTATGGAATATAAAAATTAAATGACACTAAGAAAACAAATGCCAAATAAATATTATAAAATATATAATGAAAGTTGTTGTCCCCAGGAGTCATGTCACTGGTGTTACTGCATAACAAAAACCTCATATTTTGAAATAAAAGTCACACTGATGACATCACTCAACTTCCTTTTACCTGTTTTCTGAGGATCTATGAAGAAAAGCACATGGTGAGTCCACTGTGTCTTTCAGTTATCAGAGATTTTCTCATTTAGCTCATGATTTCATATGAAGCTTTTAGCTGAAGTCACTGGTGTGACCCACTTTATTCTGAGGTAACTGTGAAAAAACAGAATCCAAATGGATTAAATTCCATATTTTAGTGGATATTCCATGATTGACAACATGTGGTTTGATGCTCTGTAGCAGTTATTTTGTAAAATGTATTTTTCATTAAAAATCTCTCTGGTGTTCCTTTATTATGTGTAACACCAATGAGGATCAGTAACACCAGTGACTCCTATGGAGAGACAGAAAAGTGGACGTTTCTGTAGAATGACCCTTTTGTGAGGACGAAAAGGTCAGTGTGTCTGTGATGAGCAGGGTCCACAATCTACACTGATGATAATAATTATAATAATAACAATTCATATGCTAGAATGAACGAATTAAAACGTCATTAACCTGGATCAGGAAAAACAAGACAAATGATAACAAATGAATATATAAAAAAAACAACATATACAGTCATGTGCAAAAGTTTCCATCAAACTGTATGTTTTGTTGACTTTCTAAGTGAAAATATTCATTCATTCATTCATTCATTCATTCATCATCTTTAACCGCCTAACAGCCAGATAGTGCCACAGTAGCAGCTGCACTGCAACATATGGTGTCTTGTCAAGTAAAATTATCTT